TCATTGATGGGTCTCCTGTTCACTGATGGGTCTCCAGTTCATTGATGGGTCTCCTGTTGACTGGTGGGTCTCCTGCCCATTCATTATTGGGTCTCCTATTCATTGATGGGTCTCCTGTTCACTGATGGGTCTCCTGTTCATTGATGTGTCTCCTGTTCATTGACGGGTCTCCCATTCATTGATGGGTCTCTTTATTTATTGATGAGTCTCTTGCATAGTAAGTGAGAAGACTATCACTGAGCTTCTACTGCCCCCTTTGTTACACATAGAAACCCTGATATCATGGTGTGTGTGGTTGGGGTGGAGGACAACCACACAATGACAGAATTGAGCACCGTCTTGCAAGCCGAGTACTAATATCTCCTCTACAAAGCCCCCTTTCCCTCACCCTCAGCCACCCTGATTCAGTCTGGCCTCTTTCTCAGATCCCAGATGCAGGAGGTTCCCAGGAGGTGACATATGCTCAGCTGAACCACCAGATCCTCAATCAAAGAGCAGCCCCATCTCCCCTGTCCACGGTGCCCATGGCTGAGTCCATCACATATGCAGCTCTTGTCAGGCGCTGACCCACGGGCTCACATGGATGCTACTACCCCTGAGGACACGGGACATCACTCAGGAAGGAGTCTGAAGAAGACACTTGGGGGGTTTCCCCTGTAGAATCATGTTGGCTGGAGAGTGAGCCAGTCAGCTCCCCGGGAGCTACGAGCTGGCCTGTGGAGATCCCTACTCACCATCTAAGAAAGGCGGGAACCAGGAGATCTCTGCTGCAAATGAACAGCTTCTTGGAAAGATCAAATGGTAGTTATTTCCAGACCCCACCTGAGTCACTCCACAGGGACACTGCAGGAGACATTCAGCTGTGTCCACAGACTCCCTAGAGCTGCTCAGGTGTCTCCAGAGATTCTGCCCCATCTTCCCAGCTGATTCTACAGTCCAGCCACTGCCGTCAGGTTGATCCCACAAACCATATTGCAATCCCCCAGCTGCTTCCAGATAGATGCCTCTCTCTGAGAATTCGCAACTGCCACCCGGGACTTTCTTTTGATGACCTGCTCACCGACTCTCAGAGCTTCCTGAAGCTCAGTGGCTGGCCTCCAGCTGACCTCTGAGACACAGGCCTCCAGCTGACCACTGAGCCACAGGTCCCTAGACCATGCTTTACTTTGCTCATTAATAAACATTTCCAGAGACCTAAGCATTGGTAGCCTGTGCTTGGTGCTGGGGTGCACGGGTTACCGGATCTCAGCCTCTGCTTCCACAGCTGTTCAAAACTTGGTGGGGAAAACAAGATTGACAAAAGAAGCATTGGTGTTTGGGGACTGTGTGTGTTTGTGTGTGTGTGTGTGTGTGTGTGTGTGTGTGTGTGTTAGGAAGGAATGAGGAAATGGCTTGAAGGATGTGTCACAGGTGAAAGAAGGGAGCTGGCACCCCCCCCAATGATGGCCCCCAAGCATCTACAAACTCACACACATGCACACACACACACGTCTACACACACTCTCACATATACACACAAATGGTGAGTCGAACCCACCCAGAAGTGCCATGGAAGACATGGTGATTCACTTCTGAGAAGTCCCAGTGCCGAAGTCTTAATGTAGAAGTTGTGCTCTGCACGCATGAGGCCAGAGTTAACTCTGACAACAGCTTACAACAACCGCCTCAAGCTGCTTCTTCAGACCCCAGCAGCACCCCTTGCAGACTGAGTCAATCCAGGGTCTCAGGCTGGCTCTGGTGTGCCCAGCAAGATGACTACAGCCTCTCCTTTACTGGACGGCTAAGAGTTATTGAAAAGATACAGAGAGAAGGACAGAGGGAGAGAGAGGGAGAGAAGAGGGAAGGGAAGGAGGGAGGGGGAGAGGGAGAGGGAGGGAAGGAAGGGAAGGAGGGAGGGGGAGAGAGAGAGGGAGAAAGGGAGAGGGAGGGAGGGAGGGAGTGAGAGAACTATGTTATTCATTCATAACTGAGAAGTAAGGTCAGACCAATTACAGACCAAATAAAGGCATTTTATTTCTTTTACCAAACTGATGATACACCCCCCCCAAACACAGACATGAACTCACGCACCATGCGCGCACACACACACACACACACACACACAGATATACTACTAGCCATAACTATGATTACACTAGTTCTCTTTCATGTAATACTATTTAATGCTCTGGTGGCTTAGTGCTAAGGAATTGTGCTGTCAGTGCAAAGGTATGCAGTTCGAATCCACCAGCTGCTCTGTGAGAGACAGATGGGCTATCTCTTCCTATGTGATTTACAGCCTCTGAAAACCCATGGGGAGGGTCAGCTAGGGGTTTATTGTGACTCGATGATGCCCAACAACAACAGGTAGAGGTTGTCAACATGCTTCTAGTAGATAAAACATGATCTGACCAACGGAAAAATGCTTGCCAGCTGCCAGGAGAATTTTAGGGTTCCCCCTTTCACATGAGAATTTCAGAAGTTTCTGTGGTGAATGTGTGGCCTGAGACTAAATTATGTTTAGTTGAATTCTAATGAAAAACTAAATAACTATTAAAGAGTTATGAGCGGATCAGAATTTAATCTCATGACAGTTTCTTCGGTGCCTCTGATTGGGCTGCAGCTCAAGAAATGTGCAACAGGTAGAAGCTTCCCCGATCCTCTGCTGTCCTCAAGACCACTGTTACCGTATCAAATGGGAAATACAGCATTAAAAATTATAAGATCGCTTACTGAGTGGCCTAGTGGCAAGAAGCTACACTGCAATCCCAGAGATATGTGGTTCGAATCCACCAGAAACTCTGCTGGAGAAGGAGGGGCAATTTCCTCCTGTACCAGTCCGATCTGATTTGA